ATAAATCTTCACGTCCTGGTTTTTTTTGTTTTTTTTTTGAGATTTGGGAAATTGACACTGGCACAAAAAAGGTTCAGTCAGTGTGACAAAATAAATATGTGACTAATAATTCCGTTGGGCTTTTATTGATTTTTTTTTTTTAAAGGAAACTAGTTGGGATCTGTTAGAACTGTAAGACTCAACAGGAAACCTCTAAGCTGAGGGTTTGAATGTGTTTCAGAGAAGAAAGTTTGAATTTAAAATTTAACATAACGGTCATCCCAGCTACTGTGGTGGCTAGTTCACATACCCACCACTTTCCCCACCTGCCCCCAGTGGCAGTTGTAACTTCGAATAGTCGCTGAATGAAGGTTGTAAGTTGAGGAGCCACATAACTGCTTAAACATTACGTGGGAATCGAGCCAGTTTATCAGTCTGACTTTATGGCAATGAAACCAGGCTCAATAGCAGGAACTGGGAGAGGGATCTTGGAGTCTTAGTGGACAACCAGCTAAATAGGAGCCAGCCGTGTGCAGCAGCAGCCAAAAAAGCCAATGCAATCCTAAATTGTATTAACAGAGGGATACAATCCAGATCAAGGGAAGTACTAATACCACTCTATAAAGACTGAGTAAGGCCACACCTAGAGTCCTGCATCCAGTTTTGGTCACCACACTATAAAAAAGAGGTTGAGACTTTAGAGAAAGTGCAGGGAAGAGCAACCAGGAGGATTAGGGGACTGGATCCAATTCTTTTTGGGGTGGGGGCCCCTTCCCTGTGCCCCCCCCCCCCGCCCCCAATCCTCAGCCTCACGGTCTTGAGGCAAGCTGTTTTCTCATAAATGTCTTCAATGGTGGGAAGGGGAGGGAAGAGAAAGAGAGATGGAATGATTTAAGCCGATGTTTCTGTAGCAAATACTTTTCTCAAATTTTCTACAGATGTTGCTGGAGGTGGCATGTGATTTGCAGGAGGCGCCTATCTGAAACAGTCTTGGAATGATAGCAGGAAAAAATAAGATTCCCAAATTCCCTTATCTGCTTGGATAAGGGGGACAAACCTCAAGCTTTCCTTCTTTTCTTTCTTTCTTTTCTTTCTTTCCTTCCTATTCTCTTTCTTTTGTTCCTTGTTTCTTTCTTATACATAGGAAATGCATAATTCTTTTTTTAAAGTGCCTTATTCAATTGGGCAGGTTTTAAAAATGATTGCATCACTTTTTAAATGATTCCTCCCTCTTTCTTTCTCCCTCCCCTCCATCCTCTTTCTTTCTTTCTTTCTTTCTTTCTTTCTTTCTTTCTTTCTTTCTTTCTTTCTTTCTTTCTTTCTTTCTTTCTTTCTCTCTTCCTTCCTTCCTTCCTTCCTTCCTTCCTTCCTTCCTTCCTTCCTTCCGCTTTGGAGAATAGATCGAGCCCCTCTTATCTGGGACAACTACTCAAATATTGGAAGATGCTATCATTGTCACCCCTAGGCCTTCTCTTAGACTAGACATACCCTATTCCTGCAACCATTCATCGTGTAGTTAATCTCCAGGCCTCTAATCATTTTTCTTGCTCTTCTCTGCACTCTTACAAGAGTCTCAGCATCGATGTGCCACCAGGACAACATCGTGCCAGGCGCTGGCAGTTTCCTTGATGGTGCTCCTCCAGGCCCTTCCATCAGAAGGAGCGCCAGCTGACAAGCCCATCATCCAATATCACCGGCTTTGGGTAAATAGCTGTATGTAGCCTTTCCCTAATTTTGACTGCTGGGGCAAAATGCTTGACTAAAATGTCTCGCTTCTGTTCCCGGCCAAGAAAAGAGATGCTTATTTATAGTGCTTATAATTTTTTTTTTTTTTAAAGCCCATGTATTATGTACCTTACCATGGCAACCGCGGTGTCCATGTGCTACCCAAGAGAACAAAAAGCTTTGCCGTGTAGGAAGCACACACACACACACACACACACACACACACACACACACACAAATCGATTTTTGTTTTGGAACACCTTGTTTACTAAGTTTTTAAAATATACCTTCTCTTCTTACGAATCAACACCCCTTTATTGATCTCTCCTGGCTGGCTGTGGCAAACCTTTCATCCTCTTAAATCTCTTGTTCGTTTCTCCAACCCACTCACCCACTCCAAAAAAAAAAAAAAAAAAAAAGTAAAATGATCAGAAAAAGAATCTGGAGTTGTTGCTTTGATGTTGCGATGAAGTGGCTTAAGAGCTGTAGGTGTGGGATGTTCTCTTTCGCTACACAATCTTCCCTGTTCCGACCTCTTTTTTTTTTTTTTCCCTCCACGTTTCTCTTTTTTTTCCGTGCACGAAACAGGGGCTGAGAGAGTTGAACGCTACCATCATCATCAGAGAACTAAACTTTTTTTTTTTCCTTATAAAAAGGTAAAGGCAAAGGTTCCCCTTTGCACGTATGTGCTAGTCGTTTCCGGCTCTAGTTGCAAAGCCGAAGAGCCGGCGCTGTCCAAAGACGTCTCCGTGGTCACGTGGCCGGCAGGACTAAATGCCTTTGAAGGTGCATGGATCGCTGTTCCCTTCCCACCATAGGTGGCCCCTATTTTTCTACTTGCATTTTTTTTTACATGCTTTCAAATTGCTAGGTTGGCAGACAAGTAACGGGAGCTCACTCTGTGATGCAGCGCTAGGGATTCGAACTGCCGAATTGACGACCTTTCTGATCGACCAGCTCAGCGTCTTAGCCGCTGAGCCACCACGTCCCTTTTCCCCTATAGCAATCCCTTACATCAGGGTTAAGATGAGGAGGAGGAGCAAACCCCTTGGGCTAGTCGACACTAAGACCATCTTCATTAGGGTGTCAGGCTATTCTCCAAGACACCCGAAGGCCAGACAAGGAAGAATGGGTGGAAACTGAACAAGGAGAGATTCAACTATGGAAATAAGGAGAATTTTTCAGACAATAAGAACAATCAACCAACGGAACAGAAGTTGCCTTTGAAAGTTGTGGGAGCGCCATCGCTTGAGGCTTTCAAGAAGAGATTGGGCTGCCCTTTGTCAGAAATGGTGTAGGGTCTCCCGCTTGGGCGGGGAGGGGGGTTTGGACTAGATGACCTACAAGGTCCCTTCCAGCTCTGATTATCTGTTATCTGTAGGGTGTGACATAGTCAAGAAGACCTGAATGAACTGTTTTAAGTCAAGGACTACCTGTATTCGTAAAACACTCGAGCAAAACCTGTCAGGTGAAACCTCCCTCATTTCAACAGCCTCTGCCATTGTACTACGCAACAACAGATTGTAGTGGGGCCGGGTTTAAATTTTAAATAAAAAAAACAAAAAATCGAACACGATTGAGCGATTAAGACTTGCTTTCCTGGGGGAGGGACGGAAATAACAACGTTTAGGAAATTACCTCCTGCATTTTTCACAAAAATGAACCGACACCGCAGCTGTCTCCTCTGATGTACTCAAGAAAAAGTTACAGACTCTAGGACATGGCCCAGATCTCTTTTTTTTGGGGGGGGGGATAGTCTCCCCCCATGTTTTGTCACCATATTTCACCTAGTAGTCAGGGGGGGTAAAGTTCCCTCCCCTTAAAAAAATAAATAAAAAGATCCATTGTTTCCAACGAGTCATGCGTGACAACCGAAAAACCACCCCAACCTGGTTGCCAGGAGAATCCGAAAAACACGTACAACTAACTACCAAGGCAATATCGTAGGTGTTCCTTTCGCCCCAAACACCCTCGCAAATAACTCACGAGGGAGCGGGGGGGGGGGCGTGGACCACAAAAGAATAGCCCACCTGTTAAGGCTCACAGCCTACAGGTTGCCACACGCCATTACGAGAGGTGGGATCAACTCCATCTCTTGCCAAATAATGTTTTGCCAAAGCTGTTTTATCGGCTCTTCTTTTGTGGCTCCGAAGGGCGTGAATGGATTTGGCTTCCCTTCGGCGTTCCTGAAATCCTGCAGAAGTCTTGTAAAACTGACAAATCTTGTCTTCTCGTTTGGGTTTTGAAGGCGGCCCCGGCACGAAAAGAAATATGAAGGGTTGGGGATTGCTAAAGGGGAGGGAGGGAAGGGAAGGGAGGAAGGGAGAGAGACATCAAGAGAGAGAGAGAGAGAGAGGAGGGGAGGGAGGGAGGGAAAGAAAGAGACTTCAGGAGAGAGAAAAGGAAGGAAGGAAGGAAAGAGAAAAAACTGGGAGGAAGGAAGGGAAAGAGACATCAAGAGAGAGAGGAGGGAAGGGAAGGAGGGAGGGAAGGAAAGAAGGAAGGAAACAGACTTCAAGAG